GTGTTAATAAATATTCCATGAACTAGCACAGTTTCCCTTTTTTCAGCCTTAAACACGATCTTATCTCAATGGTGTTTACTTATTCCTCCCATGACTTGTCTAATTGTCTTTTTCACTTTAAAATAATGAACTTAATCGTTTCTAAAAAGCTACTTAACAATTGTCTAATTGCTACAATTCTTTCTGCCTAATAATTTATTCCAATCACTAACAAACTGTAGATTGTAATATTTATGTGGTTTACTTGCTAGTCATAAGACTGGAAAAAGAGGGAGGGTTGCCTCTTGTGCCATCAACTCTACTCCCTAAAAATCAATCTAATCGATACGGAAACGGCAAAGAACAAAAAAAATAAACATTGTCTGTTGGAATCATAAAGACTCATTGATTCGAGGAAGGATGATGCCAGAGGATGAGAGCTTTGGGAAACCAGTTGACCTATATTTCTTCTACCATTGAAACCAAAGGTAAGCGGAGAGACATGGAATATCAGCATCATATGTGAGGCTGATTGGTAGGGCTGCTCATGTCGCAGAACAAGCTGAAAGACATGGTTGTAAAGTGCTAAGATCTCTGAGAGCAAGTCAAATGGAAGTGAAATCTGCAAATTGCTAATTAGAGAGTAAATAATTTACTCCAGTCAAAAATCTTGAACACAATGAGGTTGTGGCCGCCATTATGTGACCGACAGCACTGAAGGGCCTAATGCAGTGAGAACCAATCTCCTCCAGGGTCATGACAGCAAGATTCAACTCACTTCAAAAGGAAGGAAAGCGAAAACTATGCATTATTACGCACCTGCAAACAACTCATACCCGGTGGAGAAGAAGGAGTACTTCTACAAACAGCTGCAAATACTGATGGACAAGACCTCAGAGTCGACATCAAAATTCTGTTGATTAAGATGAAAGCCGAAAATGGGAGCAAACAACACAGGAGCAGAACTCACCACTGCTCGAGAGATGCCCGGTGAAATGAAATACAAAGGAGGACTGTTTGTTGATATCTGCACATTTAATGATTCACTGGCTGAGTTACAAACAAGCATCCATTTTGTAAATTTTGTAAATTTTACAATCCATAAAGCCACTTGGGTTTCACCAAACAAACACACCGAAACACAGACAGATTCATCTCAATTTCAAGAAACTAAAGACACAACTCAGTGGATAAAAAATTGAGGAGAGGAGAAGATGCACTCTCCGGAAGCCTTCAAAGAAGCTTGAGATAGACTGTGGTTGGAGTGTAATAGTCAGAAACTGAAACTCCAAGGGATACCTTCATTGTAGTCATAAGGAAATACTCAGAGACACTACTCAACACAACCAACCATATCTGCACCGGAAATTATTGGAACTCTGTGAAAGCAACGCGGAATAAACGTCTATACACACCCGATACTGAAAGAGGAAGAAGGACAAGGAATGGCTATCAATAGACACCTGGAAGCTGGTGAAAGACAAAAATAATGGTGAAGACGATGAACAGTTGATGAAATGAAAAAGAAAGAGAGGAACTGAGTACAGTCTACAGTGCATTAAACAAAAGAGTGCAGAAAAGCGCTAACAAAAACAAAAGTCATTTTTGTGACACACTGTCAATTGAAGAAGGACAAGTTTCAGTGAAGTGATAACTCATATTACAACAGAATAGCCAGGTGGCTGTCCGAGGAGAGATCAAAGTAGCTGAACCTGGTGGAAGATAATGAAGGCAATGTAGGCGTCGAGTGTAATTCCATATTAGATAATTTTATTTGAAATAACACATTGTGATGCAATGTTGATAAGTGGATGAAACTTAGAGCAACAATTTGTGCTCATAACGTCATCCACTTAGCAATACTGCATCAATGTGTGTTATTTCAAATAAACTTAACTAATATAGTGATGGCAACCAAATTGTGAAAGAGCTAAATTAGACGGGACGCCTGAAATAACTACTATCTGCAGTAGTGCACAGAAACGACCAGCAGGCTTACAACTGCCAGTGAACACCAATCTTCCAACGAAAACAGAAGCCATAAGGGATACAAAGTGTCTGAGAGCCATTGTCAGATGAAATCTCCAGAAAGCACTTGGAAGGAGCGCATACAACTGTGTGAACATGCTCACACCAAGTCTGTAGAAATTATGTGGGGAGTGAAGGGTATCTGTGGTTAGGGAGGCGTGCTACCCTGTGAAAGTGCTAAGAAAGCGACTGAAACCCATGGGAATACTGTCGCGGAATCATGCTCCTGTCCGCTCCAGACAAAATATTAAACCGCACTCTATTGGAAAGACTAAAACCACAGTGGTTGGAAGAAGCCCCCCTTCATACATACAAACAGACTGCATCATGGAAAAACAAGTCATGAGCAGGTGAAATCATCAAACTACTCACCAGTATCAAGCTCAGTAGAATAGAAGCCAAGTCTGCACCACAAATTCATTGACTTTGAAAAAGCCTTCGACAGCATTGACTTGGAAAGAGTTTAGAAACCGTTAGGAGATTTTGAAGTGCAGTACGGCAGATATTTATGTACTTCACATTCAAAAGCTATCTGCAGGTACAGATGTGCAGCTAGTCACAATGAGAAGCACACAGAAGTGTTTTTCAAGTGAAGAATGGAGTCAGACATGGATACCTTCTCTCAACAACAATTTTCCTGGTTCGTTATACTGCTAGACCATGAAGAATGGCAAGATGAATGTAAAATTGACTAGTAAATGGACTTTAGTGAATCTGATATTCGCTGAAGATCTATACCTGTTGCAACCAAAGTCCTCAGATATTGTGGGTGACAATAAACACGCCAGAAATAAAGAAAACGAACCCAGGATTTCAGTCAAAAAGAGAAGAGAGGGAGGGTGCAGTTAACCGAAATAAAGCGCAAAACATTATCACTGACAGAAATCGTGAGTGAATCGTCCCTTTCACTCAACCACACACACTCGTTTAAAATAAAGACAGAAAACACATGATGATATCATACCTAGTCTCCATCGAATCCGATAAAGACACAAGAGCTAGATGATCATTCAGTAATCCGAAATAGGTGTCAAAACAACATCCTGTATACTGTCAGACCATGTGATACTCTTTCATCGAGAATACAATAGAATTCAAACAAAATAACAGCACCATTCATCAAGGAATTAGCAACCAGCCGAATTCCGATAGCTGCCTGGACACAATCAAACTAAGTGGAATGTGAAATGTCCTTTCACCGCTATAATTAATCATCATTTTAGTCATGCTTGTCACACACTAATCGATGTATTTCATTTCAACGCTCTGCTTATCTAGCATAACTGTAGTCGTATTTCCCAAATACAGCAAAGTCTATCTCTCCCACAAAACAAAATTTTCTCTCGTGCATTCTCATGAACAGTATTGAGTTGAGAATTTATCAGAACATGACAAAAATCAGTACAACATTCTCAGCCTCAAAAGTGATTCAAAGATTTCTAGTGTTCAAATATTTCCCCTCACGAAGACCAACATTGAATATCGTTCTTCAATTTGAAGATGTTTTGAATTTTGAAATTGGCCGTGAAGTGGATAATATCGAAACATATCGAGAAATATCTCCGTCGATACAGTTTGAAGGCTTACACAAGCAAGACACACGAAGTGCCTTCACAATGTCCCCACAAACCCCAACCAATTAATTGTATTTTCGTTTCACGAATTCAATGAACAAACACATTCAAAATAATCTGTATATATTTGCGATTGTACAGCTGTGAAAATGAATTCACCGAAAAGAGGCTCTTCGCTCAACTACTGATCTTCTCTCTGTTAATTTTCGAATGGCGATTCTTCATGAATTAGAAATGTTTACAGTTGTGATGTTTCAAATAATTGGCTACAAAATCTGGTAGTCTCATTGTTAGTAAAAGTGTGAATGTTTTGTTACAGTACGTTAAATGAGTTGCATTCAGTATTCTCGTAGCTTATTTGTCATGGATTTCGTTGTAATAATCTGTGTACTTTGAAAAATTGTGCGAGAGACTGTGGTATATTGACTTTCTGACGCTTAAGTAAACTGTTTATGAACTTCTTCCAAGATCTACTCTAACTGATTGTGTTGAAATGGTAGAGACGTCTTGTGACTGGCTTGTAAACTGTCTGTATGAATTGTCTTTGTATGTTAGATATCAACAGACATGAAGCCCTTTTCCCAGCCTTCCTAGAATCAAATACAGTGAATTATGTTTTGAAGCGGTGTCGGTCTTCTATTTAACACAATCAGCTCTCAGTCTCATTGTGTAGATGAGATACCACAGCTGATTAATTAAATTCCTCCTGAAATTGATAATGAAACTCTCTAAGGTAGTTTGTAGTTGTAGTCTGTTTGTTACTGATATATTCTTTGATGACTGAACGTAAGGTCGCTAGAATCCTGTAGAGACCTGAATGTTCATTTCATCTTCAATTACCATGCACTAACTTTCATGCAGTCGTTGGCTGAAGAAATGTTTAGATAAATTCAGTAGTGGAGGCAAAATGATAATTGTCAGTGGAACATAAGATTTTGTTTTCCTTACAGTTGATTTGTAATCGCCTTAAAACTAGAAAATTTATAGTAATAATTTGGATAAAAAACATCTGGTAATTTACTGTCTATAGTGTGCAAAATTAATATGGAAATGAGGTGTCAGTGAAACGCCATAATGGAAGTTAAAATGAATTCCGAGAGTCAGTTAGTTCAAAGCTAAGTCCAAGGCTTTGCGACTGAAGTGAATCTCGGAGATTAGTATAAATTTAGGAGTGGTTATGACACATAAATGTTTGTTTACAATGTTTTTTAAATACTTGGGATTGTTCAAAAACTCAATACAATATATATATATATTGGAAGAAATTAGCTAGTTTTTTTGCAGTAAGAATGTATTGCTTATTCTATGCGTATATTAATACAAGAGAAGAACAAGTTTGCAGATGAGTTATGCGTCTTTTTTTACAACATTTCACTAGGTTTCCTGTAAATTATCAAAACGTCTCCTTTTGGTTTTTAGTTTCCGAAGGTTGGTCAACAACTAGTACAGTATACAATGCATTGTTTACTGATAAAGTGCCAAATCGCCTACGATTAAGCATAAGAACAAGGACAAAAACATTCACAGTTTTGGCGGTCGCAGCGTGGAAACTATTTTTAAGTGTAAGTCGATGTTCATTATTATGGAATTCCTGTATACGACAGTAAATATTTGGAGCACCGCTTATGATTTTGTTTTGCAAGTTTTACTATCTTCGGAGCTTAAATTTCCCTAGATACAGCTTTTAACTTGAGCTGTAGAGTCAGCATATTTTAGAAATCTCGCTAAAAGAAGCATTTTGTGCAATTCGAGTTTGTATCAAGAAAACTACTTGTTTAATCGATTATTCCAGATAATGATGCTTGAAAAATTTGGAGACGCTAAAGACTTTAAACATCGAAGCTGAGATGTTATTGCATCTTCGAATATAAGTAACCGTTGTATTTAAAAATAACAGAATATGTAAGGTTGAATAAACTGCCTTGATAAACAATAGAGGGGTTTCATTTCTCAGAAAAAAAATATATAGTATACATTATGTGGTGTAAAGACCTTTCTCATAACCAATTTCTATTTCAGATTCACTATGAGTGGTAAGCTTTTAGTTCTTCGTCCACGTGTTAGATCAATAAAGATTACAGTTATTATGTGTCCTGTTGGTGAATGCATAGGAGGTGAAGCAGGCGTCTAACGATTTAGAGCAAGTAAAGTTGATGAAAAGCTGAGTTTATCCAAACAGCCTTGATATTAATTGTAATAGTACCAGTAATTATTTCAAATTCAAACTAAATAACTCTACTTAGCAAATTATCAGCAGTTTGATTGAAAATTAGCTTATACTTGTCATTTGTAGAAGAAAGGGCATAAACTTCTCATACATATGTGTGTGAATTTCCTCATAAAGAGTTTTCGAAAGTATAAAGAAATGGCAGTTTTTATAAGGTTTAAATAAATATTTTTTTATGAGAGCAGTTTTATACACTGACCAGAATGAAGTATTATAAATGATGACTTTTAATGAGAGATTTTGTCGGCGTTGAAGGATGCTTTTGATGTCAAGTTTATGAGCCATATCTACTGAGTTTTTTCATGTGTAGCAACTGTATACAGCCACATGCACTCATCAGAGTTTCGTAAGCCATTCAGATACATGTTATCTCATCTTCACGTGCAGAGCGCAGACAAGCGAAATAGTATACCCTTTTAAGACAGAGTAAGCTGTAGCCATTAAAAGTTTTAAATGATATCTCTTTTCTAGTAGAGTATCTGTCTATATTTTCTCAGTGTTGTCTGTCATGTTCACTTTACAGAAAGACTCGACAGTAAAAAATAATAAACACTTATCCAAACCTTTGTTGCCTTGCAATGCATAAAAGTTGGGAAAACCAGGGCATCGCAACAAGCTTTGTTTACGTAAACTGCTTTACTGAACTTAATAATGTCTGAAGCATAGTATAACCGAAGCCACAAGTTGATTGCTACTTCAGTTTTCATACTGAAAGCTGATGCAATGCTGTACAGAAATGGATTTTTCTAATGATAATACTGACGTGCTTACCATAAAGCACCATCACCAATCGAATTGTAAATCATTTCGATAAGATAATATCATTTTCTAAAGTAATGTTTGTAGTTGGAGAGAGACGTTATTCACTCTGTATTCCAATACTATTCCTCGACGTATGGAAAAATTTTCACAGAGAAAACAGAAAAGATTGTTCATAAATTTATTCACCTTTGTGAATTTGAATAAAGGGACAACAATAGTTTTTGCAGAATAAAATGGTACCATCATTTATTTCGTTGCCTTTTCATCATCTGCTTACAGCCCAAAGACATTATTAAGTAAATCTACAGACACAGTTTTAACATGCTTGCAAAGAGTTCACTTTTCAAGGAAAAAAATCGATATATGCATAAAATGCTAATAATAACATTCAATTATCCCAAACAATAGTAATATGCAATTGAATCTTTCGTTGTTACGTAACCATATGAGAGAGAGTTACCATGGCAAGCGAACACTGATGTCCACTTCTTTCCGAATGCATAAATCGGGTTTCAGTCGATTGATGGAGATTGCTTCGGCAGACTTAAGAAGGACTGAACTCTTTTACCTATTGATAATTTTGAACGATCTTGTGATGTCCACCTCATGACCCGTGTCAAGAAGATGGCTGGTGATGGCACTGTTTAAAACATTTGTTCCCTTTACACACAGACTTTTCGCTACACGTTCAGAAAATCGGAGGCATACCCTTCTTTCTGTTCTTCCAATGTAACTGCTCCCACACATACTTGTAAATTTGTATACACAAATATTGTAACCACATAAAGTAGACTGGGAAATCGTCTGACTACATTTACATGATTATGAGCGATAAGATTCACTGGAGAAGTCATCCAGTTAATATCACTGTACTTTCGCACACTTCGTCAATTGAGGATCCCCTATTGGAAGAAGATAAGACAGCCTCAAATTGAAGAACAATATGCGATATTTGTCTTCGTGAGGGGAAATATTTGAACACTAGAAATCTTCGAATCACTTCTGACACTGAGAATGTTGTACTGATTATTTTCATGTTCTGATAAATTCTCAACTCAATACTGTTCATGAGAATGCACGAGAGAAAATTTTGTTTTGTGGGAGAGATAGACTTTGCTGTATTTGGGAAATACGACTACAGTTATGCTAGATAAGCAGAGCGTTGAAATGAAATACATCGATTAGTGTGTGACAAGCATGACTAAAATGATGATTAATTATAGCGGTGAAAGGACATTTCACATTCCACTTAGTTTGATTGTGTCCAGGCAGCTATCGGAATTCGGCTGATTGCTAAGTCGTTGATGAATGGTGTGGTTATTATGTTTGAATTCTATTGTGTTCTCGATGAAAGAGTATCACATGGTCTGACAGTATTCAGGATATTGTATTGGGAGGATGAAAAACTATTTTACTACTGTTTTTATTCGTTTATTTTCTTCCTAGTCGAATATCGGGCTTCGGTAGGACCTCTACAATGCACTCGCTTCTATGCTGTGACTTTCGACGTGGTCCACGTCATCTCACAATCTCCTAATTATGTTGTCTTCGTTGTCACCTTCTGATCCTTCTCATTCGTGTTTCACTCGACGACCTATCTAGCTGGTGACTTCATTTGAGTATTGCCTCACCGTATTTCCAGTCCATCTCTATTTCTTTTTGAATAATTTTTGGTTGGTCAATAGATTGCTTTTTGACGAGTTGTTTGAAATAGGCTGTTGTCGCCCATGCTCCCTGTGCAGTCATCTGATCTACACTGCTGAGCCACTGAATTAGACATTGATTCACTTCTACATTAGTTCGTTGAAATGACTATCGGCGACGGGCTCAGCAGGTCTCTGAACCAAAGAGAACCACTGAATTGACATTGGTGTTAAAAATTCGTTTCTTGTTGCCTATATTGAGCACTGTGGATTTCCACACCTATTTCAAAGTATTGAATGCCTATCAAGCTTTTATGTCCTGATGAGATCGGATAGTGACTGGCTTTGCTATCACTATTTGTTCTTTCGCCTTCATTTGAGACGAATGTATGGGTGGGTGATTTGGATGTCTTGTTTCCTATTTTTCCTATGGATTTTATCGTGCACTTCTATGTGTCTGCATTATGGTCCTGCTCAAAACGCCCTTAAATGATTGAGATATGTGAATTCAGCCAAATTGAATACTTAGCAGGCTTTGATTTCTTTGATAACCTATTTTTACACGACTTAATTTTCTTCTTTCCTTGTTCATGAATAAAATATGTGTTACGCATTATCTGTCATAGTGCAATACTGTCTATGGAAGAGATAACATGGCATACTATTAAATGATTTATCACTGTGACGTTGCAATAAAAACGTTAGTCGGTTACTAATGGTTTTATGCAAGCATAAATTAAGCACTTATCAACTATATATGTATGTGTCCTTATCGCCCTCAAAGGAAAGATAATTTTTATAAAAGGACCATTACACAACCGACAAATTATTCATTTCTAAAATGATGCGTAAATGGAATCATTTTAAAAAAAAATTTGCATAAGTGATAAGTAAGACGTTAGTAAATCATGTGTAAATAATTCACTTACATCAAAGGCAAGGAAATAACTTCTGATTAGGTATATACATTAACTGTCTATTTTTATTGTTACATACCGAGTTAACAAAGAAGGTTAATTAGTTAAAATTGAAGGCTAGATGGTAAGTAATAACAAGGATAATATTAAGTGATAAAAGAGAAGCAGAATGAATCTTTATTCCATGATTTATCTCGTACTCTAACCAGATGCTGTTTACACTTGGCATCAACTGAAAACACATCCAGAACGTTTAATCCATCTCAATAAAGGAAAGATGTTTATCTGCTCACTTCAGATGTAGAAATGAAGTATCTGGGGAACTGTAGAATTAAAGGTATTAACTGAAGTCAAATGGCATCACTAGGTGAGTGTTTGCTGCTCTGGATTGATGTCTAGTTGAGTGTGGATTTCTAAAGCCATTTTGTCACAAACACTGAGGAAACGACACTAAAGATCTTGATGGTACATGCATCTCATCCGTAACCTCTAAATTGATTTCTCCGGTATCAGTGATCTTGATGCACAGTTCAGCTATTCTTTTACACCTGAGAAGACATTTGTCGTTTCATCTGAAACTGTTTTGGCCATTGAGGTTGAAACAGCAAATAGTCACAAAAATCGATAAGAAAATATTGTGAATTCATGTCCGTTATGAGGTAGTTCATTACTAAAGTATTATTTTATTCTCAAATCACAAATCTTCACTGAATATCGCATAATTTACTTCTGTCATAAATAATTTTGCAGTCTTATTCCCTTCCTGATCGGTAAACACTAGCGTACAGCTCAGCAAAATGCTCGGGTGAAATGAGGTCTCATTTGTATTCATTTTTAAGTGATATATTCTACATCAAGCCGCTACATAGTTCTTACTTTCTTCAGAATATAGTACAAAAACTTATTATATGACAAATCAACATTCAGAATCTGCATGAGAATTACACAGAATCTGTTTTATTTCGTAATTTTGTTCTGTGCAGCCATCATTATATCCTTTTTCTAGAAAACGCACTGTCACTCTGTGAAAGCCGTCATATATTCAAAAATATTTCCTAATTATCCATAATATTTTGTACAAGTATTTTCAACCAGTTCAGTGAAGGCATCGAAATGCCCCGTCCTGCTGTTTTTGACTTACATGTAACAGTGCTTGTAAATAGCTCCAGTTTTCTAGAGAATTACTGATTACTTTCTTTTATGAAATGTATACATATATACTAGTGTCATGCATTTAGTCTTTTGTTTGTTGGAGACTGAATTCTGTCAGTCAAGTTTGAAATGTGGCCACCATACTAGGTGGCTCACCATCACAGTGAACTGTAAACTGTTGTTTTTAGATAGTTAGAAGCAATTGGTAGGAAGCCTTGGACTTAGGTTTTGTGTTTATTGGCACTCACCAGTCAGCTACGTGTATCTGCAGTCTTAAAGTGACTCGTGTCCTTCTGAGTTTCTAACTCACGTCATCCAGTACTGCATTCAGAGATTCCGCCACTGAGCTATTCAGGCTCACGACTGACCATCCTGCTAGACTGTATTAGATACTCCGATTAGGCACTAGCTAGTATTATGAGTCTAATCCTTTGTTAATAGCACTTACAGCATTGTGATTTCAAAATATTTAATGCGCTTAATTATTCAGAATTCACTGCATTATGTCATTTATATTATATCAGTTAGCTTCTGCATTTTGTTCCGGCTATTGAACAAGTATGTTTGTACGCATCCACCGGGATTCGAACCCAGGACTTCTGGTTACAAGGCGAGCTCTAACTGATGTCAGCTCATGATGAAATCCCCCATGCAACCAAACAAAATCCCTACAAACAATATATTGACAGTGTTAAAGTGACTAGGTAGCCAATCGAATTTTCAGGAAAGCATGGTGTCAGTGCAGTCAGCTTGCATTTTATGTTTATAGGTTGTTGCACGGCTGACTTCATACAACACCAATTTAAGTGCCTAGGTTATGTCGACAAGAACCTTATAAGAAGGCTGACTGATCAGCTATTTTCTATTTAATATGCGGGTAAAGTCAAGTAACGAATTTAGATTAGAAGAAAGATTACCGTTTTACTCACTTGTATATTGGAGAAGTGCAGAGAAAGACTTATTTAATCTTCCCAATGCTGATAGCAGCAGCTGTCAACATGAAGTCATTCGATAAATGAATGTATTAAGACAGAAAAATCTATGGTTGTTTCTCACTTTACCAGACTTAAATAAGATAGAGTGATAAAGTTTTTTATTGTTAAATAAACAAAATTTATCAAAGTTATATCAATTTTTCTGAAGCACTTGTCAAATGTCGATATAATAACTATGTTAACATGAAGCGTGACATTGTCATCCAGACAGGATACGCAGTTAAATTGAATTTTTCGAAAACCATTTTATCCGCTGACAGTTTGTACATACCTCAGTTTTATTACTTTCCAGTTTGTTGCATAATTTAGTGTGAAGATCTACAAAAATGACTAACCCTAAATCTCCACACTGTTACTTTTATTGTGTTTTGTAAAAGCATATAAAAGGTTTCAGTACGCCTGGCTATAAATCAGTAAAGATGAACGTGTCACATGCTTTTCCTAGGTAGCATCCTTTTACTAATTTGATTTTAAGTAGTGGGTAAAAGCAGTCAATGGATGGCATACGAATTTAAGGTATATGGTGCAAAATACTGGCCAACAAGCTTTAGAGAATTTGTGAAGAGGCCCATCTAAACTAATCAGTCTTCGGAAAAATCTGTGTTTTATTGAGAGACTGAACTACCAGTTGATGGTCATTTCTTGACGAAGCTGTAGGTATTGAATAACCTACGAGAATGTATTTTTTTCTAAATAAAAAGACACATGGCGATCTCTAGTTGATTTCAAAATAACTATTTAGTTTTCGTTATAAACAAGTATCATTCTAGGGTTATTTCATGATAAAAAATTTTATTCCTTTACGTCCCGAGTGGAACATGGAGTTTCAAGCTAGAGCTCTGGAGTTTCAATAGTGGTGGTTCTATTTTTAGGGAGTGGGGTCGCTAGCCTCACGTCCAACCTGTCTTTTCTACCAGGCTTACTACCAGCTTACCGAGATTTAGGAGTGCATCGACCGGGATGGAACTCCTGACCACGTGCGTGGTTGTCGAGCGTTCTACCGCAGAACCACCCACGTACAGGGTTATTTAAATGAAGAGGAAATTAGATATTCTGTTTCATTTTAGGCATCTCAACGAACATTTCAGCTTTTTCCAGTCCTGATAAAGTTCATTTTCATGTCATCTCATATTCAACTTGTCTTTGTCCACTGTACAGCACATCTGTTACTCAGTGCTGATAACCGGTTACTGACTCCTCAATCTACCTAATTTCACGAAAACAATTCTCTCATTCAATCTTCACGCAATCTATTTCTACGTTGGAATGAAATTACTCAGAGAATGAATTTCTTTGTAAAGTATCTGTTGATTTATTCACAGTCAGGTCATTTACTTTGTTGTGGCTATGTTCATCGTCAGTTCCATACTCCTTGCTCTTTACTTCGGAAGAGTGCCTGTCTTTATAGTGGAGATAAGTGTTGAAGCCATTTCATCACTACCTGCTGAGCAGTTATTTGGATCATATCTTTCAAAAAAATAAGCTGAGTTCGTCTCTCATGAGTAATGACAAATGCCATGACTTTCAGGGATGTTAGAACACGAATCTCTGAATTACAATTTATTCATTGCTGTATAGAATGTTTTTCAAAATATATTCCAAATTATTAGTTATATCTCATGGTTCCCTTTCTTTTTATCGTTTAACACGATAAAGATGTATGGGTATGTCGTTAGAATGAGTACAAGGTTGTTAATCCTACTGGAGTCAGTGCCTGTAAATAAAGAAGTCTTAATTCTTTTTAATTTGATTTCGCATTTATAATCTGTGAACAATGCTCGTTCGATTTTGGTTTGACTGCAATTTCATCACCTAGCCAGGCATCACATTTTGAACAAAGCAAGACAACAATTGTACCAGGATAATATGAGCTCATCTTTTATTATTTCGAGGATTCTTCTCAACTGGTTACAACCTGAACGATAAAAATATGAATTACATTAAAGATTTGAACATACTTTTCCATGATCACAAGGAGTAATTGGTAGGAAGTAAAAGTAACATTAGCGATTTTATGAAAAGAAAATAAAAAAATTAATAGCATAAAAGTTTGGTTTAAGTCGTTTGATAGCAATTGCTTCAGCAAAGCGTAGCAAGTTAGGTTTCTTTTGCTTGTTGATTATTTTGAATGACTTCAAGTTGTCTACATTATGACCAGTGTCTAATAGATGACGCGCAATTGCACTGTTTAATACTTGTGGACCTTATTCACAGTTTTGATGAAACTGTATTCACGCTGAGATTATGACTTCATATAAGACCACCTAGTTACCTACATAAACAGACTTACTTTACTCCGAATTTGCTGGACTAAATCTTACATTGAACAAATTATTTGTTATTTGTTATTACTTTCTTCCTTCAATAAAATGATATTTCCTATTCATTAAACTTGTCTGAGACTTTTTTCAATTCTGTTTTAAGTATGACCAACTCACTAGCTGATATTCAGGCTACTGGAGTTACATTCGACTGATAAAATGTATTAAGTAAGAGTGAACAATATCTAAGTCTATTTCAGACATAGAATGAGATGATATTTTGACTACATTTCGACCTACCTAAAAACACAAGTCAAAATGAAAATGCGCCATTTTAAAATTTTTTAACTTTCGTAATATTTATTTTACACACTTTATTTTATAACTACATAATATCTAGAAATAAGAAATAGATCACTGACGTTTGTGACAAGCATTCTGCATACTAAACAGATTAGAAAACATAATTTTGTCGTATTTAAATAACTTTCTAGATTGAGTAACTCCCAACACTGAGTTTGCAGTAACTGTTTTACGGTCGTTTATTAAAACTGTGGATGTACGTATTGTTTAACACGATAATAATATTATTATTGTTCCCTAGGGTTCCAAGTGGAAGATATTCACTTTGTCGTATGTTCTGCTGCCCTCTTCAGCTGGATCTACCTTTCTCGTAGTATTTTTTTTCCTTCACGCTCCCCAGTGAAACATAGGGCTTCAAGCTAGTGGCTTGAAGTTTCTTTAGCAGTGTTTATTTTACGGGATGGGGTTGCTAGCCTGATGCCCAAACTTTCCTCTTCACCAGCTTTATTTCTGGCTTAGCGAGGTAAAGGAGTGCGCCGGCCGGGGATCGAACCCTGGACCATGTGCATGGTCGGCGAGCGTCCTAACCGCTATGCCACCGTAGTATACTAACATAATATTAATATACTGTCATGTTCTATATGTTTTTTATCTCTGTTTTTGCATTACCCTTAGGTTTCAGATGGGGTACCAGACCTACGTTTCGATAATATCGTAATTACATTAGGTGAAGCTAATGTGTCTGATGGTAACTGGCATGTGTTCGAAGTTACATTTACATCAAGGTATGTAATTAAAAGCTTTTAAAATGAAATATTCACTCTCAGTTTTAATATTTTGAAAATATTGAAATCAAAGCACATAAGCTAAAAAGTCCTGAAACTATCGAAGCTCACTCTCATATAAATAATAATTGAATGCAACTATTCCCTAAGGTCTCATCGATCAACTTTTAGACTAACAATATACGAGTATTTCTTTTGATTACGCAGGCAGACTAACTTCTTAATCCTATGAAACTTAAAAAATATAGCCACCGTGAAAGCGCTTTGTCAGGAAATATAAAGCGCACAACAGTCGTTGTAACTATATGTATTTTCATAATTGCCAACCTTAAAAGTTCTACTAAACAAGAGTAGTATCTTTTTAATTTTATTAACCCAGTTTACAATCCATACACATGGAATGTGTTTGATATACGTTCCAGTTTTTTACTGTTCATTTTACTTGATTTCAACTAAAAGTTTTTCTAATGAAATGCAATCCTTCAGAAAAGCAAATACCATTTACGTTATTTATTACCAAACTTACTAACGTATACCAGAGTATAGCATAGAGATTCGCTGACTAATCTGAGGTAATTATGAAAATAAAATGGAGTGGATTTCACTCTTAACACTGCAAATTAAAAAACTATTTTTACGTGTATCAGTGAAGTGGAACTCAAAGCATAAGAGTTTTGTTGGTATTAGATGGTTGGAGGCAATCGTCAGGAAGCCTTGGACCTAGGTTTCGTGCTAGTTGACACTCATCAGCAAGGCGTATCTGCAACCTTGAAGGAACTGATGTCCCTTCTGAGATTCGAACCCGCGTCACCCAGTGCTGCAGTCAGAGGCGTTACCACTGAGCTATTCAGGCTCGCGACTGACCTCCTGTAGGACTGTATTGGATATTTTTGATTGCACACTAGTCAGTAACTAGTGTAATGCGTCTAGTCCTATCTTCGGTGCAGATACGCAGATACGCCTTGCTGATGAGTGCCAACTAGCACGAAACCTAAGTCCAAGGCTTCCTGCCGATTGCCTCCAACCATCTAATACCAACAATTCACAGTGCACCGTAATGGCGAGCCACCTAGCATGGTGGCCACATTGCAAACATGACTGATAGAATTCAGTCTGCACCGAAGATGGGACTAGACGCATTACACTAGTTATTGACTAGTGTGCAATCAAAAACATAAGAGTTTTGACAAAATGCAGATTTATGAAAAGTAGACAAATTTAAACTTGAAGTTATTTGTAGGTATCACATCCGCAAAAGTTGACATTTTATGGTAAATATATTTCCGTTTGTTTTGTTTTCAAAAGATTCTTAGATCTGCGTTTAGATGAACTGGACAAAGCATATTATAATTCCCGGTATTTTGCAGAAAAGCAAATTTCAAGAGGTTCAGTCGACATAGTAATTGCTAATGGGGCCAAAGAAAGTGAGTTTGTCAGTTGATATTGACAGCACATTTGTTTTTTTTTACCATGTGTCAGTTCTGTATGACTTTCTACAAACATCATAGGACCATTATTTTGTGAAAATATTTTTCGTCTATTCGCCAGAAATGGCATGTTTTTACTTTTATGTATCAAAAGAAACCACAGAAATTAATCGGATGAATATTTTAGTTATCTATCTCGATGAGTTCCAAGTTTCTCTGAGACGATGTGAAGTTCGTGATGTAACATAAAAACGTAGTGAGAAATTACTGCTTTTATAGCATCAAATAAAACTGTTTTGAGAAACATTATATAGAGCCATTTTCTAAATGGAAGTTTCCAGACGGTATTTTTTTCCTCGATAGAGCAATTTATAAATTACCTTCATACAGAAATTCCTTATGAATGTAATTTATTTCTTCATAATAAATTCACTACTGCTGACCCAATCACTGCCTGTCCACCAACTCACCTGCTTCTGTAGGGCAAGTAATGTAAGCCATACTTTTCAAAAACATTATCAAACGTTAACTTGAGAAGTCGTACAGACGAGAAAAACCTCCTCCTGCAACTCTGTCCTGACAACTCATGTTAAGGACAAACCTGCGCATAGAAAAGAGGTTAGTCTAGTCATTAAAATCACAATAGACCCAGTTTATCTACACACTTAAACCATAACTTCTGTCAAGATTAAACCACTACTCCGCACCACACTTACATTTCAATTTTTGTTTGTGCCGAACTCACTCCTGTCAACTATGTTACGTCATTCATTTCCCTTGCTTAATTTTCATTCTTTATCTCATTAATCTTCCTTGTACCATGTAGTTTTTGATAACCTCTGGATTGTTATTTAAAATTCAGACATGTGGTGACACATACTTGGAAGGATCTTTTATGTTGCTGAGAAAGTGTATTATATACTGCGATTGCACAGTTCGGAAATGATATAACTGGAAGGAGTAATTCGTCGCAGGATATCTCCTGTTTTTATTCCGAGATTGTTTGCAGGTGACTAAAGTTATTAACATCACGAAAAATTTTGATTAAGCTCTTCTTTCACTATCATTCACTGGATGGTTGGCAGTGCTTCCTGTCTGTCGTGTTCAAACTTTATATCAATGATATCCAAGAAATTCGACAATAAACTACGTTATTGCAGTATTACTCAAAGGCCTCAGAGTCTACTACAGGCAAAAGTGAAAAATCCCTTTGAAATAGAGAAGAAAATGATTGTACGAGTTAGAGATTTGTTCTGAGAATTATTTTATCACTATATTTCCGTTAACTTAAAACATTTTAACAAGAATTCATGTATTTCATAAATATAAAAGGATAAAACTGTTTATCCAGACTTCTGTTTTCACCAGAATACAGTTTTTAACTGTCTTTCCACTTCACAGCTTGTTTAGATGATGCGTGGATAGATTTTCGTAATCTCTGGCCTGATTTTGAACAAGACTACCCCTTGGAAATAATCAGTAATCCATCTTACCCAAGGTATACAAACTGGGGAAGTGTTGGCAGACAGTCAGGTTGTTCAAGTGGTCGCACATTTTGCAACGCATCCAAGGGAATTTGTGACGATACTGCTCTCTGTGTAGAGGAGTGGAGAGGTTACCGATGCGAGTAAGTTTATCTAGTGATTACTTTTATAATAGTCACAGTTATCATTCTTTTTTTTACTTTCTTAGTGAAGCATGAGGCCCCAGACGCACTCGGTTTTCTACCATGACCTTCGGAAGCTTTCATTTTTCCTTCACATAATCTACCCATATCTTCCTTAGAGGGCCATTTCGTCTTTTCCCTTTGGCGCCTGTCTGGCGCTTCATTTCACTATTCCAGTTAAAGTCTTCCATCCACCCTATCTTTCAGATTTTCGAACATAATGTGGCTCAGTATTTTACTTGATAGGAAGGATCATGGTTCCGCTACAGTATTTGCATAGGCTTAGGTCTCCCTCTCTCCCACCTCGAAGTTACCTTCTCTCCCTTCCTTCTACAGTAATGGCGTGGACATTTCTTTTGTAGTGGTCAGCTCAGGATTTACATTGTTTCAGTGCATTCATAACTGGACTACCTTCGATATCTTCCACTGGCTTCAGCTACGTTAATCTCTCCAAGGATAGTTACCTGGCTGTTGTGATATCATAATATGAGTCCTCACTTTCCTGCAGTTTGTCTCCCTTCATTTGACGGTGTGTCGTAAAAGTGACTTTTGTTTTTGTTAGCGCTTTTCTGCACCCCTTTGTTCAGTGCGCTGTAGACTGTATTCAGTTCCACTTTTTCTTTTTCATCTTTGTACTGGTTGTTTTCCTGTTTTATCAACTTAATCTCCTTTCCTGGTCCTACTTCATCTTCCACCTTGGGATGCCTGCAGAGTTTTTCTCCCGCACTGCTCTCATATGTTTACCATTTTTGTTACACCTAAGTGTCTTGGTTGATGCTGCTCGATTTCTCTGACTTTTTAGAGGTGAGTACAGTGAAGGTTTCTTCGACTGCCTCGCCGAAAGCTTTCTGTTGCTGTTGCTTTCGGTCCTCAAATTTAGGATTCTCCCTGATTCGAGTGCAAAATAAGTTTAATTTTTGTGGGCTTCATTAGCAATGAAATTTTTTTTTTACACGGTTTGCTGCTAGCAGTGGGGTCAATTTTCCCATTTAGGACGGGCTAGTAAATGTGGCTGTGACGGATAACAGGTTGGCTCAAAAATATGTAATATTCAGCTACTAGTGAGTCAACAACTTACTCAAAGTAGAGAACTCCCGGTTTTTGAAATTTTCAGACGTATGTGTTTCTATATACATGCATTTGGTTAACTTGTCATATTTCAAACAGCCTGTATTTTTCAATCATACGGCCTTTTCTTACAGTTATATTATTATTATATTATCATGCATTCACAATAAATGACTAAATTTCTCCACCCGCAAAACTGGTATGCATTGCCGAACAGTTTATATCGGTAACCAAGCAAATTGTCAAATTTGTCCAAGTTTCAATGCATCACCAATTTATTTTACTTGAATAATATGTATAAAGGTCTTCTAGGTTTACTTTTAAAGTGTTCTATATATTACAACAAATGTGTCTATATGCCATACACTTAATGGCGAAAATAAATTTGTACAAAATGGTGACCAAGATAAACAATCTAATTTACTGGCAGTTTTATTTTAGATTGTCTTCATTTAGTACAAAAGTCACATAATCCTTTTTGTGTTCACGTTAAGCTCCAATATCGATTTTTGTTCCGCTAGTGTGAAAAATATGTATCCCCCTGAATATGTAATATTCACAATACAAGAGATTATTTTGCTTACTCTTCAGCAAAGAGGATTTTCACTTGATGCCCTAAAAGTAAATTGAAGGAAACATTTGACAGTTTAGCCACAATATTACAAAGAAGAGACATTGGTAATTACACCATTTACTTCACACGCACAGTTCTATAGCACAACATTCTTAAGACACTGAAGACTATGTTATTAAGATCTAAAGTGTGAACACTTATATCCAAAGATGAACATTCAAGTGAGACTTTGCACTTTGTTCCCTATTATGCATCGGCATAAAGTTATTAGCTGATATGTTGATGTTGTAGGCATGAAAATGACGGATATATTTTCTGCATAAGAGAAACACTATATAAGTGTCACAATGGTCGATTCACACTCATAAAGCAGTTCATTCTCCACATCATTAGTGATTTCGGGACTATCGTGCACACACACACTTCATAATTAACAGGACATTGGTTAATGTGGAAGAATATTTCAGTTGTATTCGTATTCTGGTCAGCATGGCGTTACTAATTAACCACTGACACTATAGTGATTTATGTTAGAATTAGATGATTCAAAATCTCCTAAGAAAGGAATGTGATGCACAATACAGTGTGGGAAGTGCACATAGGTGAGAATGGGAAAAATACTTTGAATGGGGAAGTAGTGTTTAGTTAATAGGAAGATTCGAGAGAAGAGATATCTGCTTCCCTTCTTGAGTGCACAGCTTAACGAGGTAAAGTGCTATAATATCAAGTATCTGAAGGAAACATGGAAAAGATTAACAGCATTCGCAGTTGGATTGATTGATGTAGAGCAACAAATATTATCAAAGTGAGAGAAATACGGATACCACAAAATACATGCAAACAAATGAGGCATATTGAGAGAGAGCTGACAAGTGAGAAACGTAGTGATAAAATAAAGAGGTTAAATTGTGAACCGTAATCAAATACTAGGGACGTGATAATTTCAGTGTAAATCACAAAGATTACCGAATAAGAAGCGCATAATATGACGTGAAGGTATGAGGTGATTGTTTAACTGATAATCTCACAGCTGGCAAGGGTACACAAAGAGGATGTGCTATGCTTTACACTTAGAGATCTAGTTAATTCTTTTCAATTTCTATCGCTTCAACTTCGTCTACAAGACCTAATTATGCGCCTTTGGTTCCCGACATATGAGCACAAATGACTCATCTATTTTGATGCAGATTTCACTATCCACTAGATGAAATACAATGGCATTGTTTATTGATTTAGTTACTCCCTTTCCAAGCCAGACAGGAACATGTTAATGAGTGCATAAAGTTGTCGCTTTTCTGTAGATATAAGTGGCGTTCCACCAATTAGTATGAAGAGCACCCAAAAAAGATATATCATCTTGATATTCTTCCTCGTAAGTTAATTTGATTGCCGGTTGCACGTTATTAAAGAGTGCATCAGATTCTGCCTATCTAAATTCTTGTCACAAACGATAAACATGTCGTTTACATACAGGCAGTAATATTCGATTCTGTCCAACATATCTCTTAGAGGATCATTTTCTAATCTTTCTAAGATTTCTGCTAATAAGTGACCTGAGGTGGGGGAACCATAGCAAACCCAACTACTTGTCGGTAAAACCGCTTGTTGAATACAAAGTGAACATTGACAGCAGATTTTAGCAATAATTCTTTCAATTTCACGTGCATGACCCCAATATTTATTTTTCTACAAGCGTTTCAAAAAGGAGAGCACTGGTAAATAATGGCGTTGCATCTAAAGATAACATAGTTTTTTCCGTAATATCCACATATTTTGATGTTGTCAACGAAGGTGAAGACATCTTTTACACCATATTAAAATAACTTCTGGTACAGAGGCTCCAGTAAATTTACCAGACATTTAGCAGTTAAATGAAATGGCGAATTCGACAAGTTTAGAATGAGGAGCAGTGGAACTCCATGTATCTATGATTCTTTGGCAAATCATAAAGCCCAGATGTACAGTCCACCGGAAAAGCATTTATCTTTTGAAAATAGTCACATTTGTTCGTATTGACTTTGCCCTAAACTCCGTCATGTCGAGTGATGATAAGATTGTCATCTCACAATGGTTTTCTAATACATACTGTCTCCATGATGTGTTTTCGTCAAAGAGTGTTAATGTTCTCGATTTCAAACCTGACTGATTATTCCGTCCTAGAAATTTGATTCATAGAAATTATTTAGTCGACAAATTGATGACGAAGAGTCTCGATTAGTTAAATTGGTTTGAAGTCTCAGATTATCCACACAGAACATCATTTGAGAGAGGAACACAAGTGTTATAATTGAAATCATACTTTAATGCTGTCATAAGTTGCTTTATATGTTCACCTGTTTCTATTAATAATTTTTGGTTGTATTAAGTTCTGCATCTTGTTCGTTCAATTCTTGTGTTCATGCTTGATTATTTCAATTTGTATCACTGTTTCTACTTTCAGCAGTTTGCAGCATTATACCAATTGTCACTCTTTATCGATCTAATTCAATGTAACTGCTTTTGGAGTGTTATCTTATCGAAGCTCCCACCTTGTTACTTGATGTCTTAATTGTACACGTATCATAGTAATCCCACACTGTATTCTAATATTCACACATTCGATGAACTATTTACAATTACATGATCATTCATTCGCTTGTTGTTTAAGTGTGATTATATTTACAAATGTTTTGTCTCAGTTCACTTTATCATTTCAATTCAAAAACATATACGTTAATGTGATAATCAGTCTGTTGAAAAGAGTCGCTTCGCTGAATCTCTTCCATTTTGAGCAAATTTAATTTCATGTTAGAGGCTCTCGTTTGACTTGCTGCACTATAATAGGTCTCATTAAGAATTCTTAAATGTTAGTTTTATTCTATGGTTGCTATGGTTAATATTTCCTTGGGTTCTGAGTGGAACATATAGTTACAGCAACACCTGGCGATTTCACTCTGTTCCCTGCAATCACCTTTAGCTTAGTGCACAATTGTCCATAAGCTTTCATCCCCTCCTCACATTGTCTCCTCTAACACGGCCCCAGAAACAAAACTTGTTATTTTTCATTGAGGTTCAACTAGAATTTGTGGCTGTAAGTGTCACTGAGTTGTCCTTTTGGTGTCTTTCAAATCCACTTCCATTTTCTTCGAGATATTTGTTGGTCGATAGGTTCTTGGTTGGTTCGTTCCCAAGGTTTCTTGTTAACTATCCCTTCCGGTAGGCCATCTGATATTAGATGGTTTGAGGCATGACACTAGTTAGTGTCAAATCAAAGGCCATGTGACGTTCAGTTTCGAGTGAAAGCATCTGCTTGGGAAAGTCTGTAGCCTGATGAAAATGCTTTTCGTTACACTTTGAGTCTCCTAAACATGTAGAGGTACTGATTTCACTTTAGTGTATGTATAGCATGCATGGTTTAATTCACTGAAAATTTTACTAAAGGTCTTTGAATCGAAAATACGACTGGGAAATCGATTTTCTGAAGTAATTTAGCATTTTGGTTTTTTATAAACTTTAGCTAGTGTATCAACAACTTTCACACGATGATTAATTCATGAACTGAATTAATAAAAAGAATGATATTTCCCTAAGAAATTTCTTCGCGTTCATTTGTCTGCTAAATAAAAAAGCATTTATCGCAATCAAAACAAGAGATGCTTAAACATCGCATTTCACTAATATTTTACGGTGTTTACTGTGCATAGTAGGGGCTGTTGTCCAATAAATTTATCTTTTCCAGCTTAGGCAAAGGACAATGAGTAAATGGCTACATAAACAGGGATTGTGACAAGTTTGTAGTTCATGATGATGAGTTTAAAATATTAATTTATCTTGAGCGTTCAGTGTAATCAACCTCAGATGAATAATATTTAAACGGATTAACAAGGTAAGTGGAAAGATGTTGGGTTTCTAATTGAGTGAAGTTCATGATAATGTAGATAATCGACTAGCTCACCTCGTAAACTGAAGGTCTTAGGTTCTGTCCTCCATGCGGTCATAGGTGCGTACTAGTGAGGAGTCCTAATTAGATAGAATACTTGTTTAGTACTTTCTGGTTTTCAACGGTTCTCTAAATGATATCAGTTTGTGATCAATCTTGAAATATGGACTGCGTTTATGATATGATTTTGATAACAAAGGAAATTCAAATAATTCTGCTTCAAATTGGTGACGCTTATGGTAGTTTTATTGTGTATTTCTAAACTATTTCAGATGTGTAAACAGGACGGTGAGAAATGATCAGGGGAAATGTGTTCCATTCCAGTGTTATCCTAATCCCTGTGTTAATGGTGAATGTCTTGTGGTAAATGGAACTAACAATTTCACCTGTATTTGTTTTGGAATGTGGACTGGACCTCTCTGCGATCAGGTATTAGGTATGAGTGCTGCAAGCCTTAGTTGGTGGTGGATACTACTGGTTGTCCTGCTGTTGGTAGTATTATGTGAGTACCACTTTTATACGCTTCATATTTATCTTAAAACCCTTTTGGTTTATTTCATATAAGCTGATATATTTCACAAATGCGAAAGTGGAATAGTACTTTTTGCTGAATAAGCTCTGCAACAGAATTGCAAATGTAACTTCACAATTTTAAAATTTGACTTTATAGTACCAGATCGTTTACTTCGTTTTGTAGGGAATATTCCGAACAAAAAGTGGATCACTTCTCCTAAACATTTTCTTGTTTGATTGGATATATAAGGCTTCTATTAAAAGCACTTGTTTCATGAAACTAACTTAAAACAGAAAACAGAATTTATAAGAGAAGGAATAATAAAGTTCAGATATTTCAGGAAAACACATCAACTGCATATTTAACATATTTGTTTTTATTAGGTGCTAAGTAATGCAGGAACACATAAATACGTTATACAAACCAAGAAATTGGATGAAAAATAGCAACGCAATGTGAATAATTTATACAGATCACATGAGATTGTCTGTAAACTGGGAGTGAAGATTGGGATGACTATAAATGAATTATGTCATTTAGAACACAACAGTTAATAATCGGAACTAGTGCTTAATAACAATGCACAGCTAAAATGAACCAAGCATTTAATTAAGATATAATCGTACCTATGATAATACTGATACTAATAATGGAGGTAAAAATACTTTTGAAAATGACAGGGAAGACATACTTTTGAGTAAAGAAAGCATGGTAAACCGTATTGGAGAACTTGATAACAACGTAAAATTAGGTAGAGATGGAGACACTGAGACTAATGAGAATGAGAATTCTTGTAACAAGGATTTTAGAGTAAGCAATAATTGTTTTAAATTTACTATGGGAAAGAAATGTTTTCAAAAAGCCGTTTGTCCTCAAGGTGAATAAGAATAGTGAAAAAGATTAATACACTGAGAAAGCAAGCGAAAAAGACCAATAAACAATTTCACAGTAGACGAGACACTCTGCAGTGATTGGTGTCATTCAGCTACCAGCTTGCAAATGTTCAAAATATCTACCTCCAAGCAGAATTTGTCATAGATTTTGAGATTTCTCTTTTAGGTGAATAGAGAATAGCTACATAAAACAAAGCTAAACTTAATAAGACATCACAGTAGCTGTATAATCACTGACTTCAAAAATCAACTAAAATCAGCCTTTATCAGCGTACAGGAAAGATTTGATAGTGGGATTTAAAGTATAAATTAAACAAATTTCATATATCTCTTCAATTTCAAAGACAGCTTCATATTTTAAATAATGAGCAGTACGTAGTGCTTTTAAAATTAATTTGAATCAATGTGTTTATAGAATTCTAATCTCAGGAATTAGACTGTCAAGGTAATGAACAATTCCTAGAGATTTACTCCATAATTCTCTTCAGGATTTTAGTGGAAGCTGCAAATATGGATTTTTGAAGAAGTCATTATTCAATGAGGTCACATTTTTCAGACTGTGTATCAGGATGGCTAAATTAGACTTGCGACCAACAAGTCATATAATACCTTATGCACTGAATATGCACGAACAAATAAGTATATTTTTGAGAGAAAAAACCCAGCTTTTATGAAAATACAACACTTCCGGCTCTAGAAGTAGGCAACTTATCTTTTATTCTTAGTTTAGCTTCGTGAATCGCAAAACATCTCATTTCATGAAATACATAGCAGCCATGTTGCCAGCATAATATGATGCTGACGATGAGTTTTTGATTCTTTATCACATGGATTTCTTTATCATAATAAAGGTTTTTTGTATTTCCCAATGAGTAAAAAACAAAACGACTGTAGTGCTAAAACGAGATCTACACATTTCATTCTTGGAGAAACTAAACAATCTATCTCCCAGAATCCAGTTTACTTTGGAAGCATAATCAGACGTCAGTGAACTACCATTTCTAGACTTCCTAGTTAAGAGGAGGGAAAACGGGCATTTTGGTATATCTCTCTTCAGGAAGAAAACCCACTCCAGCAAATATTTAGACTTCGGATCATCACACCCCATCATCGGAAAGGTATCAGTTGTTTCAAGTTTCCTTAGACGAGCACACTCTGTGATAACAGATGAGAAAGAAAAAGAAGAAAAAAATATCAAACATTACTGAGTCTCTCAAACAAAACAACTACCCAAAGAACTTCATCAACAAAATCAACACTGACATTAAGTATGGCGGAAAACGCATTCCGAAAACATGGACCTCGACAGTCGTCATTCCATATAGAGCAGAGACGTCAGATGATATCAGAAGAGTACTCAATCAGCTCAACATTAGAGTTTTCTTCAAAACACCAGACACACTGAGAAGCAACCTTGTCCATATAAAAGACCAAATCTATGTGTCCATAGAACTGCGTCTATAAAACAAAATGCTCGGAATGTGATGCGATATACATCGGACAAACATCTCGGAAAATCAAAATTAGAAGAAATCAACACCATAGAGCATCTGTTCAACCACCGAGAAATCCAGTTGAACCAAAAAAACTTGAAAAATCACCATCCACAGGTCTACACGCTGTAGAATCAGGCCCCATAAAATTGATTTTGACAATATTGAAATAATTCAGAAAAACTTCAGAAATCACAAAGAACGTCTCAAATCAGAAATACTTTGTATCAAATGGAATCCAAATTCTCTGAAGAGGAATGATGGACTAAAACAGAATTCGACCTGGTTACAACATCCCCCCCCCCCATGAAAAACAAAATCAACACGAATGTGATAAGCAATTTCACTATGTAAACACACACTGCCTTTATAATTTTACACACTTATCAAATCCAACAATCTACACCTGGTTTTATTATCTTTACCAATTGGCCAATTTGACAACGCAAAAAACCCCCATGCTGAAGAACGGTGATTAAGTTGTTACATAAAAGCTGAGATTTTGTAAATTCTGGTTTAATAACACTTCGATAAAGCTATTAGCACTAAATAGCGATACGTCAGTAAAAACAGTATCATTTTGTTTTTCATTCAAGGAGAAATACAAAAAACCTTTATTATAATGAATATCATACACCCAATGCCCACATTTTTTCAAACTGTTAAAAGTGAACTTGGTTTACACATACACAAATTGATTTTTTCCCCTAAAATGTATCTGCAGGTACACTCTTATATTAATGAAAATGTCTACAATTACTTAAAGACAATTGGCATGTCTACAGTATTCTTCATTCTTTCATGCTTTTTACTTTACGTTTTTCTCTTGTCGAATTCAGTAATCGCGGCTCTACTGATAACATTTTGCTGCTGTAAACGGCGGCAGAAAAAGAAGTCGAATTTAATTGATTTCAGTAGTGGTCTAAGTGATCAACAGCTAGGAATTGAGAGTCATACCAATGATCCATGGAGTACAGGTAAAACGTTTTTAAAGTAAAATATGTGTACAAACGAATAGACTTATCATTTGTTTTTTGATACATTTTATGAGCTGAATAACCTATTCTCTTCTATGCAGTTTCAGAAATGTAGTTAGAGTTTGTATACTCTAATGTTTTCTAAGAGCTGGTTTGTAAGGATTAGATTTGTTTATTCGATTATAATCACGGGTTAATATCAGTTAGAGAACCATTGATTACCAGCGCTGGAGTACTAGACAGCTGTTTCATCTTAGTTTGGGAGTCATCGGCAGTACGCACCCACTGGGGTCTGAACCTAGGACCTTCCAGTTACAAGACAAGCTCGTATACCATTCAGCCACTGGGACCCGATTCTCTAATGTACTTGGGAAGGATAATTAGCTCGAAGTGAAATACTGACGGTCACATAGATTCAATTTGACGCCATCCTTTGTTAGTACAACGTCTTACCAGTTAATTTAGTGTTTCCAAAGGTAAAGTAACTTAGTTTCACTAATTAAATAGATTCATGAATAAAATTCTACACGGTGAAATATCCATACAAAATAGCTACTGAAGTCATTATGGTCCTTGCGTATTTTGGGATTCTTAGTAATCTGTGAGCAAAATTTGTATGGTTGTATTAGACCGAACCCTTTGTGCACAATGAACGAGGGTAAAAATGTTCAGAGAGCATTACTTCCAAAAACAGATGCATTTTTCTGATTATCTAACTGTGGAGTAATGCTGTGGCAATCCGTTTAGAACAAGGAAATCAAGAAAGCGAATTATTTTATCTAGTGACTCATAGCATTGAGATGTATTCGGTCAATAATATAATCTAACCTTTTGTTAGTTGTTTTTCTATAATAATGGAAACTTCTAAAGAATATAAAAGCTTCTAATTTAAATATATTCTATTATTTCTCGGGTAAACAACTGAAAAAATTATAAGGAACCACGAGTTTTCTTTTTGAGGATATAGTGTTTGCCACATGCCTTCTCTTTGCTTTTATCGATCAATTATGCATAATATACAAATGCTCTTTGACAGCAACAAGTGGCTATGAGGCGTGTTTTAGAAGTTTTATAAGATGCTACTCTACTTTACAATTAGTAACTTTCTGTGTTTCTTTAAAAAAATTAGTCGAAATGTTTTGGAATAGGAGAAATGTAAACTCACCTTTGAATATTGCTCAGAAGACACCTTATTTGATCCCTTTCACACCTAAATATATTAGTCGTGAATAGGAGGGAAACTTCTCAACCTAATTGACGTAAAGGTTTGTGATTTTTGGTTAAGATTAGTGCTTCCTTGTCACTGGTAAGCAGGAAGCGAAGACAGATATCAGGGGCTATAGTCACATAAATAAATATACATGCTATAATGATCACTTTCTTTAAAATTGGTCTTAGTTACAGCTGTAGAATGAAAGAAGTATCCTCTTCTTAAATGCATTCATCTACTTATTTACCTTGATCGGTCAACATATAGTAATGTAGTATATTAGTGAACTAGACTAGACTAATAGACACCTGGAAACGAATACACATATGACAGTTGATTGAACTTCTGGTGAGCCAGATTCCGAGTTTTGAGCTGATATCTATAAAGTGGTACTGACGTAGTGTGTTCCCTATTTGTTTCATTCATGAATATATTTAAGTGATAAATTTGAGGAATAACTTTCCTGATTATTTCAATATAATTATGATGTGTCCTCCTAGGTGAATGGTTACATTCAGTCTCTAGGTTCAAATCACCTTCATACAAATATTTATCCTAGTAGGTTAAGTTCAACGAAAATACAACTTATGCATTTTGTACACTGATGGGAATCAATTACACTCATAAAATTAAATTTATTACTAGTTTGGCTGTGAAATGATCGTTTGGATACATTTTCTCTTTTATATCTTTGAATAAAATAAACTTAACTAGTCAAAAAATTGTTGCAAATGCAAACTGTCTCTTGGAATGTATTTTAGGTGAGAAAGATTTTCAAGGACCTATTGATTATTCTGTCTTGAAGAGAAACTTTAACTCAGATGGATATAAAGTGAACAGTGATTCCTTTCCGAGTAATGGATACATTCCTTCAGGCATTAAGTCAGGTATGTTGGTATACTGAAGATTAAGTAATAACATTTTCCTGGCTATTTACTTTTTCGGATTATTTTAACATGTACACTTTTAATCTACTTAAGTTATTGCCATTCAGTCGTCTCATTTGTAGTTATATTTGTAATAACTAATGATCAGCAGAAGTGGACAATATATTTGTGTAGTAGTTGTCAGTTTACAGTAATTTCCAAATGGCGTTTGTTTGTCATAGCCATGTAGTCAATAACGATCCAGTTGAAAGTTCTGATAGCCGATTGCATAGTGGGCTACAAGTTGCCATTTTCATTCTGAAATAAACAAATGTCTTACAATGAAGAGTTGGTCTCACAAAAACTAAAACTCAGATTTATATTAACCGAATTTCTTCAATAAGGATTATGTGACTACTGTATTATTACAAAAGTGAACCTTATTCACTTCTGCTACCAAGGAAACAGCCATTGCAAAACGAATATCGTTAAAGTGTACCTTAATGTAGCGATTTTTACAGTTAGTGAAATTACCACTAAAAATGCACATTCAGTGACAACATTCATTAGAAAATAAGATTTGCGATTTGCAAACTGATTCACGAATTGCGATTTACACAGTTCAAGGTGAAATTTCCCCACAGTTTACTTTAGAAGCTGAAATTATTGAGATCACAATATGCGATCTGCCTGATACCATAAATGACAGTACAAAAGTAAACAAAAAATTCATGACGCTATATATTACTGATAGACTGATTTGAGTAGTGCTTTGTGCTATCAGGCAGTTAATACATTGTGATCTTTAGAAGACAGAAGGATATTTACCTTGTGTAATTCTATATATTATTTTGTTTCCATGCACAACCTTTAAGTACAACTCATTCATCAAACTATTCATACCATTACGTAACTCTTATTTAACAATCATTTATGACAACTCATCATTTTTGTTACTACCCTCTTATATGAACATCCAATTCACCTAAACTTACTCCTCTTTAACAATCGTTTTGACAACTCATCACTTTTGTTGCTATCCTCTTATCAACATCCAATTCATTTGAACTTACTAACCGTATTTTGTTTGACAAATTTAATGTATACACACAAACACACAAAATAACCATATATATTTGCGATTGTACAGCTTTGAAAATGAATTCGCCGAAAAGAGACTCTTTGCTGAACTACTTGTCTTTTGTCTACTAATGTCCGAATGGGAATTATTCATGAATATTTACCTTTTCTCTTCTAAATGTCTAAATGGGGATCTTCCCTATGTTGTGGCCTGAATAAATTCGGTCTCCAAAGTGAACTGTGGGGAGATTGGGCTTTAAATAGTGCAAATTGCAATTTTTCAGCTAATATACAAATTGTGAGTTTGATTTAACTTATCACCATGTCATCCAAGTAGCTCACCAGAATTCAGTTGATTTCAACTCATTTAGACTGATGAGCTTGTCTCCAAACGACCAAGACAGACATCTGCTGTTTATACCAGCAAGCACTGTTCATTAGAAAATGTCTATCGGTGCTGATAAATCAATAGCTAGGTTCCTTTTTGTTTTCACTACTTATTTGTCTGTCCAAGACCAAAATTAATCAGTCAGTTACTGCTGTTTATTTCTTGTGAATTCTTACATGACGTTAATATAACATGTGAAGATTATTTGGCTAAAAAGTAGAGGAAAGTTTTTATATTAATACAAATTTACAGTTTCCAATACCTATGGGAATTAAAATACCATTTTTCCACAAATACAAAAACACTACGTAAGGTTTTAGCTGAAATACTGCTTTCAGTGTTTAACAAGGGGGATAAATTCACAAAAAGCTGACGCATACTGAAAGTAAAAGTATGTGATTTACTGAAATTTTGAATGAGTCGATAATGGTTTGTGGAAGGACGCAATCAGGCCTACAGTCAAAGTTAGCTGTAAATATTTGAATGCTAACGCTTTTTAATAACATATTCGACAGTAAAGTAATAAAGTGGGTTGAACAGGATACCTTATTCATCATCTACGTTTTTTTTTTAATTTTCAGAAATGAATGGGAATTCCGATACTTTGTCTGATCCTAATGTAACTACTGCTCGAGCATACGGACAAAAGACAACAGATATACCTCCGTGGGAATGTTTCGATCGTCAGCATAATCCCGCTATAAGATTAGATCAAGTACTAGAATATGGATACGAAGGATATGATGGTAAACCTCCACCAGAGTTTTGTCCCAATGAACCTGTTTTATCCTCATCTTACGATGAAGATGATGTCAATTTAGAGGCGAGAAAATAGTCAAGACTCTTATCACATGGTAATGGGAAGCTAAATTCAGTGAACAGCTGATTTCCGACATGTACATTTCAGTAATGTTTGCAAAATGATAAACAACTAGTCGATTTCCTATTGTATGATCAAACGCAATATTATCTATCATATGAAGTCAAAGATGTTCTCGCTTAATGACACTGTCTGATAATCAGTTATTTGACAGATTGATTTTGAATTATGCGTTAACACACTTAATGAATTTCACTGATTTAGAAAACGAATTCCTAACGAAAACTGTCAAAAAGACATTTTCTGCATATAATTATAACCTGTGAATAAATTCCACTCGTTTTTTTTAAATAAACGTTTTGTACTCACGCGTACTTCGTTATTTTTATGTCTTAGAATACAGGCGAGAAATAATTAAGATAAATGCAGCTTAGACGTAAAATTAGTGAACCTGTTTAATACCCTAATCAGTTTCAATACAATACGATAAAAATGATGCTTTTAAGTACCAAATACAGTCAGATAGATGGAATGATTGGTAACTTTTATACGAAATTCCAAAAGAGCCTTTCTCTCATTTTTCGGATTACCAAGGATAAGAACTACTTTCATGGTCTCAGCTCAGTGTTCTTTCTTTCCAGCCTTTTGGAGGTTCATAGATTTCAACATTATAGGAGGGAAACGCCTACTTTTACTCACATTGATCTGTAAATATGAAGTATTTCCGAAAATTGCTTTCGCTATAATTAGCAAATATCCGGATAAATGAGAATGATTTAAAAGTAGTGCTATGAAACAACACAATGAACTCAGTTAGCAGATAATCGTGTTTTGGTCAAACAATATATATAATGACCAGTTGTTATTCTTTTAGTTGGATTTCAAGTAGACGAATATTTTAGTTCTTAAAAAAAGTGAAATACTACACTTGCAGAGTGAAACATTGTCGGTCAGTTTTTAATTTATTAGGGCATCCTATCAGAACATGTATTAAATGAAAACAACTAATTCAGCGAATCGACTCTTTTCAACAGGTTGATTATCAAGCTGCACACATATATTAACGTATGTGTTTTTTAAATGAAATGATGAAGTGAACTGAGACAAAACATTTGTAAATATAATCACACTTAAACAACAAGCGAATGAATAGATCATGTAATTTGTAAAATAGTTCATCGAATGTGTGAATATTATAATTATTATTATTATTGTATCCATTAATTCCTAGAGGAACATACGGCTTCAGCTGTGCGTCTCCATTGAGTTAGGTTCTCTGCTATAGTCTTCACCTGGCTCCATGTCTGCCCACACGCTTTCATCTCCTCTTCACATGAACTCCTCCAAGTCACCCTTGCACTGACGACCAACTCTCCGCTTCCTTTTCGGGTTCCACTCGAGCAATGGCTTGTCTAGTGATGTCACTTGATGGTTTCCTCAGAGTATGGCCAATCCATCTCCATTTCCTTCTGCCTATTTGTTTCACAATCGGTTCCTGGTTGGTTCGCTCCCAGAGATCTTCCTTGTTGCTGATCTTTTCTGGCCGGCCATCTTATCTTGAGTATTGAGCGAAGACAACTGTTAATGAAGGTCTGTAGTTTGTTTGGGATGCTTTTTATGACGCGCCAAGTCTCTGATCCATATAGTAGCACTGACTTCACATCGGAGTTGAAAATCCGGATCTTATTTTTGATGCTGTTGATGTTGTTGACCTCCACACAGCCTTGAGAGTAGTGAAAGCTTGTCTTGCTTTTCCAATTCTTGCTTCGATATCCTCGTCAGTTCCGTCTGTAGTTGAAACGATGTTTCCCAGGCAGGTAAAAGAGGTTGTTTCTTTCAGGTTCCTCCTATTTATGCTGATTGTTGTCTGTTGTTGTTGCTGTTGGTGGTGTTGCCCAGGAATCTGCATCACCTCTGTCTTCTCTATGTTCACCTGAAGTCCTATCTTTGATGCTTGTTCTGCCAACTTGTTGCTTTTCACTTGCATATCTTCCAGTTTGCGGGAAATCAGACATATATCATCGGCGAAGTCCAGATTCTCCAAGATTTTGTGTGTGTCCATTTTATGCCTGTTTCCTCATTGCCCACTATTTGTCGCATTATCCAGTCTACTGCAATCAGGAAAATCACTGGCGAAAGTAGGCAGCCGGCTTGTCTTACTCCTGTCCTCACTTCGAAGGGTTCCGTAAGTTTCCCGTTGTGGATTACTTGGCATGCAGCATTGTCGTATAGCTGTTGGATGAGATGTATAATTGTCGGTGGCACCCCGTAGTAGCGAATTAGTTGCCAAGTCACCTCTCGATCGACGCTGTCAAAGGCCTTTTCAAAGTCGATGAAGTTGAGATAGAGAGGTGACTGCCATTCCGGGCTTTGTTCAATGATGATCCGTAATGTGGCGATCTGATCAATGTATGACTTGTTTCTCCTGAATCCAGCCTGTTCCGGTAGAAGTTTTTCATCTAGGGCATGTTTGATTCTCTCCAGGATGATAGAATAGGGTGTGAGATTACCAAGATACGTTTACAATCCCAACATTAGGTAACAAGGTGGGAGCTCCGATAAGATAACACTGCCAAAGCAGCCATATTGAATTAGATCGATAAAGAGTGACAATTGGTATAATGCCGAAAACTACTGAAAATGGAAACAATGATACCAATTGAAATAATCGAGGATGCACACACGCATTGAATGAACAAGATGCAGAACTTAATACAACCGAGATAGAAATGAAGACTACGACTATTTGACATTGACAGGTAATAATAACCATGAGAGGAGGACTGATCAGACGTCTCCTGTTTACAGAGCTCTGGCATTTCTAATTCGGTGACCAAAGCTTCATCAATACAGATGAGGCGAATAAATGAGGATTTAGGCTGGTTACTTTTGACTTTGAAGACAATTTCGGAGGATGAGATTGTGGAGATGGGATGACGAGCACAGATGCGATATCCATTTGTTGCACTTCTTATATCTACATTCATCATCAAACGTATACCTAATACTATGATCACAACCTGTCATTCTGATTGTCGGATTCGAAGCAGATGTCCAAAGCAACTTATGACAACATTAAATATATGATTCCGGTGATAACACTTGTGGCAGGCTTTTAAACGTCGTTCTGTGGCGAAACATTCAAGCAGCTTTAAGTAATCTATACACTCTATCGCCAATATTTGGATTAGTTCATTTCTGTGTATTAAATGTCTGAGTCAGAATAATTAGGTAGTTTTTAAAGTGAGAACATTATTACCCTCTAACGAAGACACCTTAAATTCGTCAGAAGTTTCACATAGAAGAAATCGATAACCTTGGAAACACTTTCATAGTATTTGTCGCCCTACATCAATTAATTTAAACACAAATGCTATTAATCTTCTATTTTTCCCTTGGATAGCTGACATTATAGCACTTTACCTCGTTAAGCTGTGCACTCAAGAAGGGAAGCAGATATCGCTTCTCTCGAATCTGCCCATTAACTAAAACACTACTTCCCCATTCAAAGTATTTTTCCCATTCTCACCCATGTGCACTTCCCACACTGTATTGTATATCACATTCGTTCAATTGAAAATTTTGAATCATCTAATTCTAACATAAATCAATATTGTGTCAGTGGTTAATTGGTAACACCATGCCGACCAGAAGGTGAATACAATTGAAATATTCTTCCGAATTAACCAATGTCCTGTCTGTTATGTAGTGTATGTGTTTGAGCGTGTGTGTGGAGATGTGGAGAATGAACTGCTTTATGAGTGTGAATCGACCATTGTGACACTTATATAGTGTTTCTCTTATGCAGAAAATATCCGTCATTTTCATGCATACAACATCAACATATCAGCTAATGACTTTATGCCGATGCATAATAGGGAACAAAGTGCAAAGTTTCACTTGAATGTTCATCTTTAGATATGTGTTCACTCTCTAGATCTTAATAACATAGTCTTCAGTGTCTTAAGAATGTTTTGCTATCGAATTGTGCATGCGAATTAAATGGTGTAATTAGCAACGTCTCTTCATTGTAATATTGTGTTTAAGACTTCAAGAATTTCTTCAAGTATTCCCTTTAGGCAGGATTCATTTAAGACTGATAAAAAATTTTGCTCCAACTACATCAATGATAATATTAATCGATTCATAACTCTTTTGTTTGTGTCACTCAGTATATCAGATATGTGCGAACGAATTATTAGATAGACGAATAATTCAGAAAATTGATACCGTTCGAATAGAACGTCATATCATATTCGTTGGCAGTTTTGTAGTGACAAACACAGCTTTGAAGATTACAATGTCAACCAGACGTCCACCTCTTTGTGACCATGCATTATAGTGATTTTGCTCGGCTTTCGAAAAAAAACCGCTCTGGACGATCAATATATCCAGTTACACAGGAGCAGCTGAAGTACTGAAACATACGTGGAAATATCTGACACAACGATCTTTCCTTCAGGTTTCCCTATGGATAAAATTTTATTTAATGAACGAAATATTTCCATACTGAGTCATAAGAAAAAAGGCACAAACAGTGGAGAAAATTTTCTTTTTGACGATTCATTTTCATGAGCTGTACAATCGTAATTATAATTAACAAAGAAATCTTTAGACCAATCAGATACTGGTAAATTTTTTCCTTGGAAAATTGTGTTACATAATGTAAGGTGTAAGAAGGGATGACTAATTGTAAGTCAGAAAGGAGACAGAAGTTGGCATGACGTAATAAGTGTAAGATAATGAATAATCAATAAGCTCGTGTAAAATGGACAGGAACTAGTGGAAAGGCTATAAAGTGTTTTTGTATAAAATATGTGTGAAAAGCAATGTTATTAGTAAACAGTAATAGAGTGGTAATAAAATGTGGATGATAGGAATAATAATGATAATAAAAGTATTAATAAAATAATAATAATAGTGAACTTACATAATAAAGGAAAGAAGCAAAATTGTGGTAAGAACTTTACTCTGGCCATGGTAGGGCAAGAGAATGTATGTATCGCTTTTGGATGCAGAGGTCTAGTTTCAGATCTCGAACAGCTAATGCTTCAGCTATGTACAGATGGCGTATCCGAAGTCCCTTTGGATGCAGAGGTCCGGTCATTATGGATAAAATTTTACTTTGATACAATCACACAGTGTTATACAGTAGTATTAACTGATTACGTTTCGAGCACAAATTATTGTTCATAATCATATCAAGGTGAGTACCTTGGTTTTCTATAGAAATGTCATCCGCAAATATTACTGTATAAGACTGTGTGATTTCATCAAAATAAAATTTTATCCATAATGAAATTATGCTCTATCACAGTGTCCAAGTTTCCTTCAGGTAATTAAATAGTAGTGGTCAACTGGAAAACGCCAATCTCAAACGCGAATGTTCTTTGAAGAGATTATGAGATTCTTCTATACCGTTCCCTAAATTTTTTACATTTCATAAACTGTTTTCTAAATTACATGACTTATATTTTCGGTTGACGTTTAACTGTGACTATAATCACAAGTATTTTTGGTGATTTTAGTAAATATATATATAATTACCGTCTGGTAATAAATACATTGAAAATATTCTCTTCGCTCATTCACTTATCAGTCAGGATTGAAGACTACTTGAAATCCAATAATACTGTTGCGAATAATCAGGATTTTTAATTGCTTATGTAAAACAAGAGGGGAAGTCCAATATGTTTAACCTCACGATTTTTATACTGTTTGTACATTAACAAGTGAGCACCACTCAGAATCCAAACCTTAAGGTTCTAATTGTTATGTCATGTCAGTTGATCCAATGCCTAAATTGCGTTCATACAGGAATCATCTTATCTACACCCGCTAAATAATTCTTATGCATAATCTGGTTGTAAAGTAAGGCGATTGTGGCTTGGATAAGATATTGGCAAAGGCCTTTACTACGATACTGAGTGAGGTGTGTCCTCGAAATTTCACTCACCTGTTGTTGATGACTGCTTAAATGCACAATTTATGGTTTCCTGAAGGGGATGATTTAGTCAACTCTGAATTATAGTTATTGGCGTCGATAGCTGCATACTCACTGTGTGGTACTGTTCAAAAATAATTATAAAAAATGATTAATGTCACATTTAAAAGAAAGTAAAATGGAGATTTTTTTCAAGCTTCTCATATTTTTCCAATATTTAGACACCGGATAGTATTTCATCTCAGAGTAATTTGCCCACTGTGATCGCCAAAAAATTACCTTACTAGCATCATCAGACACTGAGTATCATTTTTCATTAGCACTTTTTAAGATTACTTAAAATTGAGTATGACATTTCTGACAGATTTGCTGAATTATGTGTCTTAGGTGGTTCTCAAAACTGTTTAGAGTTGACAGTAAGCTGATATTTGCATAAATGATTCATGAAATGTTTCACTTTGTGGACTTATATGCCTCTGTCAGTTAAAAAAAGAAATTAAATTGTTAACTCCTGATCTAACTATTGCACAGATGCTAAAGCGTATACTCAGTTCGGAGTCTGAATGTAATGTAATTTTAGTTTAAATAATTGATAATGCCAGTGCGAAAGGTATAATGAATTTCAAACGAAATAAATAAACTGCCTCAAATGTACACTCTCAGTGCTGTGTCAATTGAAGTAGAAAATCTGAGCCTGAATTTTACAGATACTAATGCTGAAAACAGGATATGAGTGACTTGTTCAAATCACTCTACTAAAAGTCTGCGGTTGCAGGTGAATTTTCTTCAGATATTTTGAACATGAAATTATTAACCTATTTTTATTCAGCCGTTAAATTTTCTGTGTGCCAATTTAACAGTATTTATGTGTATTCCTTAAAATGATTTGCAGCAATTATGGAAAGTAGGTCATGTGAAATGAAGAAATAGTATAGAAATGTAAAGTATCCTGCATTTAAAATCATCTACTATACTGTATACTCTACTGAACAAAATTTCATTTATCTGGCATCTCCAGATTTCATTTCTTCATGCTCTATGCACAGTTTTCTGTTATGTTTTGCCGGTGAAAGTACAAGAGCAAGTTATTTTTATATTTGCATCATCTAAATATAAAACCACCCCTCTGTTTAATCAACAGAACAAAGTGAGTTTGATATGCGTATATACTATTATTCTGACTCAAAATTCAGTGACATTCAAGTAAATCTCCGGTAGTTTTGACACAGGAATGAATAGGGAAATTGTGTTGATGTCAGTAAAACGTCAAAATAAATCACTGAATTTACTCGGTGGTGTGAATATAACATTTGAGAATGCTGGTAAGTTTGCAGTTTTAACAATCGCTAGTTTGGTCGTGAAAGTCAAATGCATTACCACTAACTGATTTCTCAGTCTTTTAGTTTGAGCGAAAACCAGTGACTTGGTTCTTATTGATACCGCTCAAAGAAACCTCGAAGAGATATTTTATATGATCATTAAAATGCATATATTTCTTTGTAGATAGGTAAATTAATTCTTTCACAAGCAAAACACAAAAAATGAAGTGGATTAAGCCAAATTATAGGGACGCGATATTCACCTTCAGGTGAGGTATGAAGGTTTACAGCTAGTAATAATAATTCCAAGTTTTTACTTCGTTAGGGCGCCTATTTGTTTGCAAAGCATACGTTATCATACTCAAAACTACAGTGCAATAAGTAGTATTGTTATCTTTTCTTTTACATACAAAGATACAGAATAAGGTGTCTTAGTCTTATGTCAAATAGGCGGTATACCACTGACTGACGTGCATAACTTTAAACCACTCCTGTCAGCATACTGCTTTGTTATCAGGAATATCAGACACTGTGTGGGCTGAATATTTAGCGTTTTTTAAGGAAACTACGATGAATTTTCCCCAGTAACTGCATGGTTCGCAAATGGTGAATTTGATCCTTCAATCTTCTGTCATTTAGCTACTCAGCAGATGTCAACATAACTCACTAAATATATCAAGTTGTGTTTCATGCATGTCATTCAAAACTTCCCTCAGATATAAATTATTAATCGGTTTACTTCAGACACATTTTGGTTTATCTTTAAAACTAGAAATTCACCATACAGGACTTTGCATAAAAGTTATTAGCTATGTTAAAGCCAAAAGATACATACTAGAAGTTGAATGGAATCATGAGACCGAAATCCCCTACGAGGGTTTAATACATGCCTATAAAATGAGAATAACCGTAATTTGTGATTTATTGGGTGTTATTAATCACCATCATACCGCGTCGGTGGTATAGCGGTTAGGACGCTCGCCGACCATGCACATGGTCCCGGGTTCGATCCCCGGCCGACGCACTCCTTTACCTCGCTGAGCCAGAAATAATGCTAGTAAAGAGGAAAGGTTAAGCATGAGGCTAGCAACCCCATCCTGTAAAATAAAAACTGCTACAGAGATTTCAAGCCACTAGCTTGAAGCCCTATGTTCCACTGGGGGGTGTGAAAGAAAAAAAGACATGAAAGGTCTTCAAAGTACAAAACAGAAGTAGTTCCTGTCTTTCTGTTAACCTTGTATTACTTGTGGAATAGAACCTCAATGAAACTCTCACTTGCATTTTAATTCAACAAAACAGAATATGAACAAAGCAACAACTACAGTTTTAGCAGAATAAAATGGTACCATCTTTTATTTCCTCGCATTCTCTTCAGCTGCTTAAAGGGCAAAAACATTATTAAATGTATCTACAAAAACAATTTAACATACTTGCAGAGAGTTCATTTTAAACAGAATAGTCCTTGATTTAAGAGAGTTAGGTGAAATTCGTCCATCTGGGAAGAGGAAGAATTCCGTTACTCATGGTGGGTTTCCTCCCCTCATGATGAAATCCTGTAACCAAGCAATCAAATCCCTACAAACCAATACTTGAATATCAATGAAGTGCTCACTGACAACTTGTCCTATTCAGGTAGGTAGTTACCTGGGGTTCCAGTGGGAAGTGGTGACCAGTAGGGCGCAGCAAATCGGGTATGAGAACAAATACTCGCCGAAGACATTGGTTGGCGGTTGCGCTATATCGTAAATTGGCAGAAGTTAGAATTCATAGGCCATTGGATCGGATCCCAGTGCTTAAATGGTATGCGCGCTCATCTTGTAATTAGAAGGTCATGAGTTCAAAACCCTGTGGTGGGTGCATACTGCTGTTGAGTCCCAAACTAGGACGAAACAGCTGCCCAGGTTTTCCAATGGTTCTCTAACCAACCACAGCTCAAGATGAAATCCTGCAACCAATCAACCAAATCCCTACAAACTAATAGTTGAAAAACAACAATTATTCACCAAAAAAATATTCTCTTATTGAGTAAAAAAGGAAGCAAACGGGGAAGAAAATTTTATTTGCGACGGTTCATTTTCATAAGCTGTACAATCGTAATTACATATAATAAAGAATTCATAAGACCAATCAGGTACTGGTGAAATTTGTCCTCGAGAAACGTATTACGTAATGTTAGGTGTAGCCTAGAAGGGGTGACTAATTGGAAATTAGAAAAGGGGTAGAAGTTGGCATGACGTAATAAGTGTGAGAAAATGACTAATCAATATAGTTATGCAGAGAGGACAAGAACTTGTGGAAAGACGATCAGGTGTTTTATAGAATCTGTATGGAAACGTAATGTCATCAATAAACAGTAGTAGAGTGATAATAAAAGAAGCATGACGAGAATAATAATAACTATAGTGAGAAAGTTACTGTGACCACGGTAGGGCAAGTGAGTGTATGTGGTGCTTTTGAATGCAGAGATTCGATTTCGGATCCAGAATAGCTAATGATTCAGCTACGTACAGATGGCGTATGCGAAGTCCTTTTGTGCGATATTGAGGAATTCTGTGTAGCACTGTGAAGTATTCGTGTGAGGGTGCTTGATGTCCAGAGTTGACAAAGTGTTCGAGGATGAAGCTGCTACTATTCTTCTTTTCTCCGATAGCTAACCAAGCGGAGCAATGTTCCAGAATACGTTCATGGACTTGACGCTGCGTACGGCCAATATACTTTGCTCCACACAAACAAGTAAACTGGTAAATACACACTGAGATAGTCAAAAGCAGTGTCTTGTCCTTAAAAGTAGACTGGATGAATTGCCTGTTGGAGAATGTGATGCATGAGGTGGCTGTTGGGAATACCTTTTTCAGAGATTTGGAAAAATCGGTTTTTAAGTATTTCTTCTTCGATGTCACCTTTGTATTCTAGATTAAGGAAGATACTTTTTTTGGAACAGCTGTGATTTTTGGCGACGGAGGCTTTCGCGCCATGTTTTTCGGTAAATCTTGGTGGATACCTGTTCTCAAGTAGAGTTTTACATAATGAATTAAACGCATTCTGTATTGTGTCTTCCGGACGTATTTTTTGAGTCCTTGAGCATAATGCACCTACAAAGTTTTGCTTTCGGATTAGTGGAACGAAGCTCTGAAAGTTGATGAACTGTCCCGTTCATGTTGTCTCTGGAAATATGTTGATTTTTGGATCGTGTAGTCTTGTCTTTTGGTAAATAGTAGATAAAGCAATTGAAACAACATGTTTGATTCACGTACTAAGGTGAAGCAGCCACCCCATGCATCACATTCTCAAACAGGCAATTTATCCAGTCTACTTTTAAGGACAGGACACCGCTTTTGACCACCTCATTGTGTATTTACCAGTTTACTTGTTTGTGTGGAGCAAAGTATATTGGCCGTACGCAGCGTCAAGTCCATGAACGTATTCTGGAACATTGTTCCGCTTGGTTAGCTATCGGAGAAAAGAAGAATAGTAGCAGTTCCATCCTCGAACACCTTGTCAACTCTGGACATCAAGCACCCCCACATGAATGCTTCACAGTGCTACACAGAGTCCCTCAATATCGCACAAAAGGACTTCGCATACGCCATCTGTACGTAGCTGAATCATTGGCTATTCAGGGTCCGAAACCGAATCTCTGCATTCAAAAGCACCACATACACTCACTCGCCCTACCGTGGTCACAGTAACTTTCTCACTATAGTTATTATTATTATTCTCATCATGCTTATTTTATTATCACTCTACTACTGTTTATTGATGACATCACGTTTCCATACAGATTTTATAAAACACCTGATCGTCTTTCCACAAGTTCTTGTCCTCTCTACATAACCACATTGATTAGTCATTTTCTCACACTTATTACGTCATGCCAACTTCTACCCCTTTTCTAATTTCCAATTAGTCACCCCTTCTAGACTACACCTAACATTACGTAATACGTTTCTCGAGGACAAATTTTACCAGTACCTGATTGGTCTTATGAATTCTTTATTATATGTAATTACGATTGTACAGCTTATGAAAATGAACCGTCGCAAAGAAAATTTTCTTCGCTGTTTACGTCTTATTCTTACATATTTTATTTTCTCTGTAGCAAAATGTGGGATAGATTAATAAGAGGTATGTAAATATTTTAGGAAATAAATTATGTGGATAAGGTGTGACTAGAAGAGATTAGAACAGCTAGTTTAAGGTACCTCACCTTTTTTCAGAGGGCTATTACTTTGATTCCTAGAGAATTAAAGAAGGATGAAATCGATGACGAATATTATGTTTGTGAAGATAAAACAGGTATCTCTGTTGATTTATATTTCCACGGTAACCTAGTAAAGAGACTTCAACTCTATCTTTAATAACATTAAAGCAGGTGACATTGGAATGTCACCATTAAGTCAGCCTAGAGGTTGTAAACAGAGAACATTTCGTAACTTTTGTGTTGTCAGAAAAAATACTTGGCCCAATGTAATGTAAAAACAATTCTAAGAAGAAATTCTATTTGTTTCATATGACATAGTGCCAGAAGCTAAAACTGTGGGAAAAAATTGGAATGGTTTTAATTTTCTTGCACTATTTTTTTAAGACAGAGTAAAATGTAACTTTACTGACGAGTCCTGTCTAGTAGTAATTTTGTGTAATGTTATGCTAGCATAACTGGTCCTAAAAGCTTTGATTTTAAAGACTGCCTATTTCGGGTATCACTAACTAGTCAGATCTCTGCAAGCTAAAATTATTATTCCATCTGGTCTCACAGATTTTGAACACTTCTACGCCATATCTTTCCATTTCTTCTGCGATCTGAGCAACGTTTTTGGTCAACTCCAAACATGGTGTGAGCATTCCATGTTTCTATGATTACTTTCGTATTCTTTGGGGAAGGTTAACCGACTTTCTGAAGGCTTTCACGTTTCTTAATCAACGGTCCTTCAAATGAGTTTTCGTGATTCCTGTAGACAGTAAGTTTCTTTTTTCTTGTGGTATGATCTGAGTTGGTTATCGGA